TAGATTCAAATGATGTTTTAAATCTTGTCTCAATATCTTATTGCTGTGTGATTAGGGTTGTCAAAATGACTCTTTGTTCGTGAACGGCTCCGTGGTTGTCTGCTGTCAGCCGAACACAAACACACTTTTTGAGCTCGAAATATAAACAAGTCGAACATGAGCTGAGCCTGGGCTCTCGCTCGTGTTCGGGTCGTTTACACCCCAATTTCCGAGGCAAGTGGACATATAAAAACTGACCCATTTAAATAAGAATCATGCGTTCAATTTTCAAGATTGATAATTAATATCTCAGAAACAAACAAAACGTTGGTTTCTGTAATTAATTTAATTGTCAGAAATTTTACAATTAAATCTCAATATTATTTATTTACTAATAATAAAAGTCCAGAAAAAACAGAGTACTGTCGGTGGATCTTAAAGACTGCACGGGAACAAACCTAGTACAGATTGCAAGGCGGTTCACGGAATCACAGCTCTTTTAGGGATAGTTACATATAGGCCCCTCAAAATATTGATATTTACTATTTACACATGCCCTGACTAAACTACTGAGAATTTGATAAAAAAAATTAGTTTAAGAAATTGAAAAATGGATGAAAGAGGAGGGTTGATTTATAAATAACAAGTTTCGAGTGGTTCAAATGAACTTAGGGTCAGTTTGGGGCAGTTTATTTGGTGCGGTGACGTTTTGAAAATGCACCTGACATGTTTGGGTAAACTGCGTTTTGGCAACATTTTTCCACATTAAATCTCGATGTTTTCTTGTTTTTTTTTTACTTTTCAATTATAAATTGTGCTTCTGACCTCTTAAACCGGTTTCCAGACCTCTTAAACCTTTCCACATCTCTCTTAACACTCACGACTCTTCGAGGGGATCATGTAATCTCAAACTCTCTGCAAGTCCCAACGAAGCATATTTAACAAACCTAAATTACTTTCCCTCATTATGGACTAAACCAAGCATTGTGAGGTACATATGTTAATAAACTGGCTTCATAAACTCAAACCAAAAACCAAAATATACCTTCAACCCTCCATAAAACTAATCAAAACCCTAATCCAAGCAAAAAATTCAACAGAAAATACAATTCCATAAGTATTATTACTATAAAAACAACTATAACAAATATAATTTATTCTTAATAAAATCTAAATTAAATTTGAGCCAGGTGGCGAATATCCATTGGATAAGCATCTGAAGAAGACTGAGCACTATAAGACCTCCTCCCTATAATTATATTCCCTGCCTCAGTGGGATGGAATGCATCCCAGAACAAATACTCTGCTCTGTTCGGGCATGGAGTCTGATAAGGCAGACAGGTTATCTGACCGTTATTCCTCCCTACTCCACAGCACCCTCTATTTGTCACCCTCAACCCTGAAAATTCAAAAATTGCAAAAATTACCATTTTATAGATGAATGTTTGAATTTTATGAAGATTGGGATTAAGATGGTTTGCTGTACCATAAGAAGCTGGATTTGTGATGATGTCCTGAAAAATATTGAAAGCATTAATGAAAGTGAAATGAGCACCATCCAATCGATTGAACTGATTCACCAGCTGTATGAGCCTTCTGTTGAATAATTGGATGGCGCTGTCGATCCGGTCGATGCACGTGAAGCCGTCGGAGCTCAATTGAGCGAGCTCGCTTGGGCTGCAGCCTACCTGACCAACTCCGACGATCACCACCTTTCTTGCGCCGTAGTTGTAGAGTGTCTGTAGAGAGTTTTGATGTAGTAAGTACATAAGAAATAATTGGTGTCGAGTACTATGCTATTAATAGGATTTAGTCATGAATTGAAATAAAACGTGATTGGGTACAGACCCTTATTTGCTGGGAATACTGCTGGATTAAGGCGTCGGCGTACTGCTCCGGCGTGTACTGGCGGCCGGTGGAGTAGACGGCGGGCATGAAGTAGTTATTTAAATAGTCATTGCTTCCCATTCCTACTTGAAATATACATTTACTTAGATAATTTGCAGCACTGTCTTCGTCTCCTAACATCTCCACTATCTGATTTACTGCCTGTACGTAGTTCTGAACCTGCCCGCTGAAGGTTATTCGACCACCCTATACATGCATGTAAGACAGCAGGTTTAATATGTAATTAACTATCTTTTGAGGGGGCATTTACATAAATACCAGAAAATTCTTATATTTTTATAGCACGTAAACTTTAATATTTGCATGCATGGCAGACAGATTTTAATATCACGTCAAAAAATATTGTTATATAATATGTTTTTAAAGAGTTGAATACACATTTTCATGAATTGGTATAGAATGTTATAAATATAAATATGAAAATTTATTGTTTTTAATTTTATAAGAACAAATATTTATATGATTTTTGGCTTTTATGATATTGTTGGGCCTGGAGTTTTCACGTGTGAGAAGAGAAAATATTATGTATGGTCGGTCATCTGCAGGTGCGAACAATAGATGAGGTTCGAGAAATCTGAACTACATGGTGGCAAGCTCGAATCTCATCCGTTGTACGCACTTACAATAACGTACAAAATATTTATTGTGATAGAGAAACATATTAAGGGACGTAGGGTATTCAATGAAATTTGTTTCATAAAGCCTACATATTCACATATTTACCATATTAATTTGAAGTTAGAAGCTCATTTACATCCGCACTAGTACTCTATTCAACAACATATAAACTACACAACAGAACTATTCAATGCCTTAATGAAATTGTTGAAAGATCTCGAAAACACTAATGATTATATTCCATATTTGTTATAATTCTATATTTTGAGGGTTATAAATTATATAAGAGATCTTGAGAATCTCTATTTATTTCTATCATTAATTAAAGATATTAGTTGTCTCTTATATTTTGTTATTATTCATTTACTTTTATGCTGTATTATGTTTTTATTATTTTCCTTACCAGTAAGTCTTGTAATGGATATTCATACCCATCTTTTCATCAATAAAATCAATTTCTTTTATATCTTTTAAGAGGATAACATTGAGTTTTGCACAAAAGTCCATATAAAATTCATAATCACCCCTCTACTATTTTGAATAAATTAAAAACTAACTACTAATGATTCATTATGCCAAGATTATCTTCAATTTCAATCACTTTCGTGTGGTAGGTAGGATTTTCTTTCAAAAAAAGAAAACTTACACATATATCACTCAATTTCTATGTATTTATATCTCTACCACCTAACTTCATTTTTACAAACATACCACATGAAAATATTTATTTCATCTTTTAAAAATTAAATATATGACATTTTTAATGTGATATAAAAGATTTGAATCATATATATATATATATATAGTTCGGCTCGCTGAGT